TGAGCTCGTTCTCTTTCTCAAGTACAGCCATTTTCCATTTCGGATACCTTATTATGAGTTCTCTGGCAGTAGCAAGTCCAACAATCCCACCACCGATAATTACGCAGTCAAAATTATGGAATGATGGCGTGGATGCCGTCCTAAAAGTGTTCAATATTGGCAGTCTGTTGCATCGGGTAAGGAGATCTGTCAGACCCCGCATGATGATGTAGTGTGCGCTGAGTTATTCCAAACGAAAAGTACTGTGGGTGAATGGAGGGAAAAAATATTCATAAGCCGCATCTTATAAGAAGAAATCATATGCAAAAACGAGTAGGCTACGCACTTCCTCACTGATATGCCAGTCAGCATAGGTGTTCAGAACGGCGCTTGATGTGCAGTTTATGGGGCAATGTCGTCCGACAGTCAACAAGGGCAGAATGTGATCAGCACTTAATTATCCTTAATTCAGTGGGAGCACCGCCAGGTAGTGTACCCTAAACAATCAATGTCAGTTTTAGTCAGTGTGTTCACCGCTACTACAGAAGGTTTTCTATACTGGGAAAGGTTTATGAACGCCTAACATCTAAGCGACCTTGTTAAACGTAACAATACATTTCAGGCCACTCTAATGGGTGCTGGAAAAGGTACCTGCGTTTGTTCGGCTATCAGGTTAACAGTTTGGTCTGCAATATATATATATATATATATATATATACGCAGCTCTACTGTACACTTGCTAGCTAAAATGGTCAAATCGGCTGGCTCATAATAAGACTCCGCATGTTTGCTCACCGATCTTACGTCTTCATAAGTTTACTCCTTGATCCAATTCAGTGCTAAAATGGTCAAATCGGCTGGCTCATAATAAGACTCCGCATGTTTGCTCACCGATCTTACGTCTTCATAAGTTTACTCACCCCTTGATCCAATACAATCCAATGCAGATCTCGATTAACTGTTAGACCAGTGAATAGACCAGGTCGTGTCTTTTTCGCGTACAGCAGATTTAGCACCATCACAACAGGTTCGTTAATCAGCAACAAGGCCGTTAAGCGAAAGGCGGCACTCTGATGCGGCCACCCATACAAAGCTAGCGTCTGCAGCCTGAGTTATCCGAGAGGCCACAATAATCGAATTCTTATTTACGACTCCATAACTATCAGGACATAAGAAAGTCTTCCACCAGTTTGTGCCCACAATACTTCTTGGTTAGAGCAGTGGGCAAAACAACTTCGTTAAAACCCTATTTATAATGGTTCTATGGGATAAGGACCCATGTAAGAAAATCACCAAAATGACTGTCTGTAGAGCCAAGACACGGGCTTAATCCATGTCATCTTTCAACTGGCGACACAAACGCAACGCCGTATTCCAAAGGCAAACCACTCCCCTGAACCTTACCAGGTAGTGGTGCGTAGCGAAAACAGTCAGGAAAAAAATTAGGACGGCAGCTCTCGCTTGTTAATTCTCCGTACACGTGTTCACTCACCTTGCTTCAGGAAGTTCAGCCGTCAATGCAACCAACAAAAGAAAGAGTTTTTTATTTTTCTCCAGCTATTTTTTTCGGATTTCAGTTCCATTAGGCTGGGAGCAAAGACGGTCAGTCTGGGTCATATCTCTTCCTCGGTTCAACGAGAGCTGTAAGAGATTACGAGAATAGACACTAGCAGGCGCCCAATGACTGTTTTAGGCTAAAGAATCGAGCATGGTTGTTTGTTGAATGTTATTTTGAATCTGTCGGCCTTCGACCTATCATGTAAGCCAGCCGTCAAATTGGCATACTTGTTTCTACACTTACCTATATGAAAGTGACTGCTCGGTATTTTAAAAGTTCGTGCTTATCAAAAGTGTACTGTTGCCCAGTGGTTTGTTGTTTCCAACTGGCTGAGGTGGTAAGTTGAATGCGTACGTCCCTGACCTCAGACGGCTTCAACCCCAAAGGTGATGTATTTCTCAGTATTTGATGGGCATTTCTGTTAGTGCAGAAAGAATGCCTGTGGATTCGTTCATCCGAGTTACCTCAGAATCCCTCTCCCAATGCGAAAAAAAGTGGAAGAAAACGGGAACTTAGTTGGCTTCTAGAAAAAATACTATGAGCATTAAACTTGAAGGCCAAGCTGACCAGACATCACATATAGTTGTAATGTACTACTACTGAAAATCCATCGACAGCCCACGGCCGGTTTCGCCCTTCTTAAGGCTCATCAGGTAGGCGCAGTCCCTGGGTTCTACTTGAAACCAAATTGCACGAGATTAGCGAATATACACTCATCTGCAAACTAATTTGGTTCTTTCCAGAGACTCACCTGGAACCTAGCTGAATCTCTCATTTATGATGTTCTCAGGCAACTGAATGTGCTGCACCAGGCCGCCTCATGTTTGAATAAGACCCTCATATTGTAATATTGATACTTACGCCTTGTCGCTCCCGTCGGATGGTAAATATTACGCCAAACAGTACATCTGCTGATTAAACTTTTTAGGCTTCACTTACTAAACACTACAACTAACAAAAACGGTTGCGTTTAAACTTTCAGCGCAACACAATTTTTTACCCAAAGATTAAGACAGTCTCCCGTCATTAGCGGTTCATCTAGATGAAATTTCTGCTTCTGTGAGAAGTTTAATAGAAGATATAGTGTATTAAATACCCTGTCGTTTCATTGTACGCAAGAGCGGGGACCTTAAATTCCGCTGGTACTGGCCATCTTCAGACGTGTAAAATTTGTCATTGATTGCATTGAGGACACCAATAATGCGTTTATTGGACATTACGCCATTTCTTAAGAAACAATTTCAAACGTGTATCCAGGTCACTTGAACTTGTGAAAGAGACTGCAAAAATGATCATCTCACCTTCCTGAATTAGGCCTACAACCAGTCAGTCCACTCAATCCGCCAGAGTATTTCGGTACAAGCATGGCACTTCTACTAAACTTGACTGCACCTACATGGTCAGTGACAAGCCAAAAGTTCATACATTTTGTGTCATTAGGAAAATTTCAAAACATTCGATGTAAAGACAATAGCATATTACCCTGGAGGTTCAGTAACAAATTATGTTTTGTTCCGTAAAGGGGAATCAAAATTTAAAGACAAGAACGCTAAAACTTTCCGTAGAGCAATTTAGTGAGAGGTTTTTCGTCCTCTGGATATTGGAGGCCCGGCAAGCAAAAGTCATGTAAATTAGGATGCCTTTTTTGCCCAATATATAGACCGGATCTGCGTGTTGGACATCGTACCAATGATGTACTTTAGATGAGTTTCAACCTGTACGCCAAAAAACATATTAAACTACATAAACTAATAGAAACCATAGCTGCTTACAGGTACAGTACGACATATCATGTGTGCGGCGTTCTCACGCTTTCATGAGAACATTTTGGTAAAAAAAACACATGCTACGACTTAAACTGCTATCCATTTTGAGCATCAACCAGTGTCATTTATTACAATTTATTGCGAATGTGAGTTCAAACTCCCTCCTGGCGGAAACATTAATACAGATTTCTTGGTTAGGAAGTGCATATTCCATTAAGATTCAATCTTTAAGCAAAACCAGTTTATACTAAAGGCCGAAAACCACGGTATAGCTTTTTTATCCTAATTAAGAATCATCAGCAGTGTGCATCTCACAAAACTCCAGGAAGTTTCAAGTGCATAAACTTACACCTATTAGGATGAATAATTGACCTTTCGGTCACGAGCAGTTGATCAGCCGTGTGATTAACTCGCGTTTATACAGGAAATAGTATAAAGGAAGAATATTCACAGTCGCTTGGGTGTTTCGGCTCTTATTTCAGCCTGTTGAGATGTGATCAATACGCCTGAATGTTAAGCATTAGACTGAAAAAAACTTGAATTATTTTTCGGTATTTCTTAAAGTAGCACCACGTATTTTGTAACGTTTTAGATTCAATATCTGACGCATCTGCATACAAACCAATTATCCATACAGTGGGAATAATACTGGGTGCCAAATGTATTTTCTTTAGATTTTCTAGCGTCCGAGGTACAAAAATGTTAAATAAATCTTTAGGCATCAATTATTCTACGGAATTTATATTTTTGCAGTGGTCCCACCGACACCGTGCCACAATCTTCTAGATCTCTCTAGTCACAGTAACCATTCTAGTGGCAATTCAGCGACAATGTTCCGCGAGGTGCGGGCAACTCAAACGAGGCCAGATGCGTTTCAACTGGATCTGTAGTAATTCTTGCAAAGCGTCATACAGGCGATACCTTCAGCGTCATCAGTGTGTATACTATTACAACGCAGTCGACTGAACTTCACGCCAACTTGTTAGCTCCGTGTGGTGGGTAACGAGCATCGTCACTGGTGCGGGGCGTGTTTCGTCCAACGACCATTATCTTTCGTTTGCATTTATCTTGCATCTTAATATGCACGTCATAAACAGGAAAGTTGTGAGTGAATTTAAAGCTTATCAGAGGTTTTTTACTTTTCTTTTGTGTCAACGGAGTTCCATTAATATCCACCGCTCAAATTACGGTGTCATTCTTCCGTTATTCTTAAAAGCTTATTGTCCTTCAGTGCTGGATATTCTCGTATATTTTGAGCCTGTCTAAACTGTCCATTGGATATCAATTAAGCGTAACCTTAAAAGCCAACCGTGAATTCTGATAAACAGGGGAGGCTAAACAAAGGAAACAGTCCCAGAAAGCCGTGAATGTTCAAAGATTACTTCAGTTGCTTTGTGCGACCGGTCTCCCAAAAACTACTTGTGAGCGAAGCCATCAAGAGTCAAAATAGCGATAACCTTGGGTAAAAAAAGAACCATCAAGCATTAGTCCAAATGATTTAAACAATAGCTATCGTGGTCAACATCTGTCAATCATATTGATTTCGCAGCTGACCTAAAACCTTAGCCTGTGAACGTAGAACCCACTACTGTCTCAAAATCATATAACTACCGGGCCAGCTAGCTTCTAGCACAGACAAATTTCCTGAGTCATCGTTCGTATATGGGGGTGAAGTCCTCAGTTATAGCTTGTCTGATCTGTTTACTTGCATTTTGAAAAAAGATATTGTCTTAAGCAACTAGAACGAATCGTCTGATGAACATGAGTTATACTGTATTCATTGCTGGTTATACTGATATACGTGCGGAATCAATTCTCACAAATTGCTAATAGTGCTTATTTTCTAAAAATGGCTCGCAGTGAGTGTAGTAATCACAGGGAGATCAGCTTGACTCTGGTCGTAAGGAGATGTCGGCGTCACCGATGTATTTTCGCCGAGAGCAGCAAGCAGGAGTTCACTTGGCATGTCCAGCTTCAACAAACACTTCGACCAAACAACCTCAAACGTATCAACGACCCACAAGTTTATTATTCCTGCGTATTTAAATCGCATTCAACTTGGCTGACCGGTCCGACTTCTTGGTCACGCTTTCCCATCAATAAGCATCCGAGACTTTTTTGAACTTCTTGGTGTGTAATAGTATACAGTGAACTCTTCAAAAGCTTTTGTACGTAATGTCAGACAGAAGTGCCCATTTTCCATCCGTATGTAATTTTTTGATCAATAAAATAATAAGATGAACGCTAGAAGGTCTTGAAAACTTTGATGTTTCGATAACTGCTGACGAAATGCTTGCCGTTCTGGAATATGCAGCAAAAATTGCCCTCGTTTTCAAAGAAAAAAAGAGGGTGCACTGTTTTGGATTAATTTAACAAGGCAATCCAGCCCTTTGGTATGCATTTTGCACCTACACATTGTGATCTCAGGCTGAAAGACAGACAGGCACTGAACACACCACTTACAACCCAAAGAGAGACACTCTAAGTTGTAGAGCGTTTTACGTGTCTAAAAGTTGTATTCGTTCCTACTTTAGTGTGGCAGATAAGGTCAATGCACGGATCTGAAGGGCTTGGGTTGCGTTTGCTAATTTAAGATATCTATGACAGGAAAGCAGCAGACCCTTACATCGTAAGTGACGTATGTATTGTGCTAGAATACGTGCTGTTTGGTTGTATGACTGTGAGATTTGGCCTGTTTTGCATGTCCAACTTAGAGTGGCGGAAGCAAAGAAGTAAAAATCTTTTGACTCGGCGAGGGGATATGAAAGATATTACGGAGAGTCTGTATATTGCCAGTGCTACTCGCCTTCCAGTATGAGGGCCGCGTGATGTCCACTGTGTCTGGTTGAATACACTGAAAGTTATGGCTGCTAGTTGGTTTCGGTGGAGTTTTGTTGTCAGTCTCTATCCAAATTGCCTGGATGAGTGTCCGAACGTGTAGAAACCTCAGAATAATTGTGTTAGGCAAGCACCTAGTCCAAATCCTGTCAGTTATTTTGCTTTTTTTCACAGTAGAGCTTTTAAATAAATCATGGTTCTATGACAGAAAAGCATCAGCGTTGAATATCGATGTCGTGCATTGGTGATTATCACGATTGTGTCTGTGGTTCTGAGCTGGTCTACGCACCGGTGCTAATTTGCTGCACCCTTCCTCGCCACTGATCCGTATACCCCGCTAGAATGTTTGTGCACGCCTCTCAGAATATTGCACGTTCTGCAGACTATCTCGTTCATCAACATATTATGGCTGTACCAATCCAATGGATTCCCCGATTCCTTTACTTCCATTGGGTCACTGGTTTATCAGGTTGGTTTGATGACCTCAGGATTTTTTGAGCTTGATGCTTTAGCTTTTGGCAGATAGTAATAGGTTAAGGGTCGGGTGATTTACAGAGGCTAAACGACATGGAGTTGTGGGTCTTTCAGTCCGGTCTCAAGATTAAATGTCCCAGTGCGGCATCTGAAATCACGTCTGAGAGAAGATCCACGGCTTTCAAATGCAGATAAAAAGTAGTGTATAGAGTCTGTGTGACTGCGCTCGTTATTAATTTGTGCCACCCAGTCATGAGGACATTGTGCGGCCGCGAGATCCAAGAGGTTTCTGCACGAATAATCAAAATCCTCTACAACTTCAAACACAAGGGAAGTGATCGCCGCGTATTCTGCAATGTGCAGGCTGATAGAGAGATTTTCATAAGTCACTCAGCGTATGGCAGTTGCAGAGACCTCAGAGAGACATAATTTCTTCTGATGATGTTATTCGAGCAGACTGAATACTTTTTTGAAGCATGGTATAGATCTAGGGTGTGTGCCTTCTTAGGTACATACAAGCCCCTTCTATTGGATCAACGAGACAGCGCAGAAGTCACTGGTCATTTGGCAGTGGATCTGTATTAACTGGTCGATGCATATGCGATAGTCATCAGCCTTAATTGGAAACCGTTCTTTTCGGTCCTTCTGCAAATTTGTGCCACTTTTTCGTATCGCGCCGCAAAGCACGACACTTAGGTGGCAATCATAAGACCTGGTCCTCTCGGCTTCTTCCAAGATAATAAACCTCCATCAAGAACTATTTTTTGGTCAACTCATCAGGAAATATCTAATAACGGTGGCCCAACGGCCTGTTGTGTTTTTCCGCCACATAACTCTCTAGCAAAATATTTTGTCTAGGCTATCCATCACCGTTATTCCAGCTGATTTTCTGCTATAAAAGCTGGCTATAAAAGCGACTGAGACAAATACAATGTATTTGTTCCAATCCACGAGGTGATAATTTCTGGCTTGAGTAATCCTGAATGTCCGGATGACTCTACACTCCAAAAAGTCTTCAGTGAACTAACAAAATAACAAACCGGGCCTCAAGTGGATCGTTATTAGAGGCAAGAGGCGGCAAGAAATCATGACTGAGATGGACTGGAGTGCACTGACACTCGAGGTTTTGGTAAAACACGCGAGCTCATGAAAGCATCAAGCATTTTCGCGTGTCCGATTTTTGCACACACATTGAACTCACTGAACGATACACATTTCTTCGTCCGAAAATATGGCCAATTCGGCAGGTGCAATCTATTGTACCCACATACAATAGACAACGTAGGCAACAGTAGGCAACGTACAACGGCAAACAAACAGTGCCGTGTGTCAACCCATTTCAAATAAACGCCTCAGATGTATGAACTTTTATCATCCAAGTAGGTGCAGCCTAACAAAGCTCAATTTATAGGTCAATACAAAACCTGAGTATAAGGCAAATTCGTCTTTATTCGAAACGATGGCCGTTAACATTTACAGCCTTAGTTGCCCGTGGTCTTTGATGGAAAGCAATTTGATATCTCAAGAATCCTTTTCCACAGGGTTTACGAACTGATACGGATTCACGGATTGATACACAGGATCGAGGCTATTGCCCGAGTTTCCCGGGTCGCCTTTGTGCTTGTCGGTCAGTGGCTGTCGTTCACCTGAAAAGTACAAGTGA